ATATGTATATGTTTTTCTTTTCCCTTTTGCCACCAGGAAGCTCAGAATCAAATGTCGTAAAACTATAACTCTGTGCAAGACCTTATTAGAGAGCCTCAAACCCTAAGGTTTTTTCCCCTGGTCCTCATTTTTCATTTGTGTTTTACTATTTTATTAAATAAATGCCCTTTAAGTTGCTTCAAGTTCTAGATGGAATGAAGTGAAAATAAATAAATACTTGAACTCCCTGCCTCAGGCTGTGTTCACACTGTTACCCAACCTGGAGGGCCCAGCTCTCTCTCCCTCTGCCTATCCGAGTTTCACCCCTCCTTAGAAAGCCAACTCGAGCCCCACGCCTTCTGATTCCTCTGCCCTCAACATGGGGCCACTCAATCTTACCCTATTCTGTGGTTTTCTCTAGCTTGTTGGTTATGTGAATTTGTCTCTAAAAACTCCCCAGGGGCAGCAACTTGGCTCCTCCTCCTCCTCTCCCCACCCACACCCCCAACACCTCCTGACACATGGCTGGACACACTTGGGAGGCTTCCAACATCTGACCAATAAATGGGTAGTGAAGACTTGTCCTCCAAATCTTAGACCCTGGATTACAGGTCAGTGTCCCTAAGTGAATCCGAAGTTTCTCCCATCGACTGAGCATCTTCCGTGTCCCTGCTGTGTGCCGGCCTCGTGGAGCACAGAGAGAGAGGGGATGTGAAGGCCTGTGGGGAGGAGGCAGGGAGAGAGGGATGTGAGGGCAGAGGTGGGAGCGGAGCCTGTGGGAGATTCCCAGAGATCATGCTGCAGAGAGAGGTCAGGTCCAATTGGTCTCGTGTTGATGAGTTCAATCCCAGAGAACAATCGAAAGATTTTCAGTGATGGAATTTCGAAACAGACTTTTCTCCTTCCCCCGAGGAGTCTGGAGGCTGCAGGCCACCTGTGGAGGCAGGTGGAGGGATCAATTCCCCTGGCTTTCCCAGCTCTGTTTCTCTCCCAGAGCTCCCTGCTCTATCCAGGAACCCAGAAGGGCAGTCAGGTTCTGCCATCTGACGGAGTCAACACACAGGACATCAGCCTCCTGTCGACAACCTTCTCTCATGACTCACACCTGAAAAGGCTCCATTGTGGGAGAATGGGCTCAGGGGTGCGTCCATGCACAGCTCCCCAAAAAAAAGCCATTCAGTGGAGGGAACAGGAGAGCTGCCACCACCCTCACCTGGTTTCCAGGGTGGCCTTGTGTCATCCAAGGATGACAGCAGACAGCATGGGCACAGGCCTTCCCTGGGGCTGAGCAGGACAGACTGCAGCCTCACTCTCCACTGGAAGGAGTCTCAGTTCTCGAAGATCTCGTGTACCTCCTCCCGACAACACTGCTGGTGCTCAGGGTACAGGGCCACGCAGTAGAGAAACCAGGAGATGCCACTGGTGGTGGTGTCATGGCCTTCAAACATTAACGTGTCCACCTCAGCCCAGAGGTCTGCGTCTGACAGCTTGATCCCATATTCATCCTGGGTCAGCGGAGGCACAACGAGATGGCCCAAGGCATTTGAGGTGGGTACCAAGAGGAACCCATAACAGTAGTTGTCACATGAAGGCCCGAGGGAGGGAGGGACAGTTCCTTTTCAGACTAGGGGTTAGAACCTTCCCCCAGATTCTTTTCTGTTCTCTAAAGCCCAGCTTGGATGCCTCCTATTCCAGGAAGCCTTCCCTGATCCCTCTGGCCAAGTGACCTGTGACCTTACCCAGCCCTGACTATCAGTTCTGCTCACTTGACACAGAGAATGCCACCAGGTAGAGGAAGAGATCCCTGTCAACGTCCAACTCCTGTCTCCTCCACTAGACTGTAAGCATCTGGAGGGCAGGGCCAAGTCTTTCTCATCTTCTGCATCCCTAGCACAGGAATTGACACAGGGTAGGGCTCAGTGAGTTTGTGGATGAATGAATAAAGGATCAACTGAATGAATGAATGAGTGAGTGAATGAGTAAATGAATGCAAAAACTCTAAGACCCTAAGATTCTGGGGTGCTGAGATTCTTCCCAGTCTTAGAAGTCTAGAGGTGGTCGTCAGGCCTTTGCGCATGTGACCCAACCTCCCTGCTAGGACATCTCTCCCCAGCGCCACGGCCAGCCACACCCGGCACCTTCCCACCTCTGAGCCTGTGCTGATATGTGTCATGGGACAAGGAACAGGCCATGTTTGCTGGGCAAAGAGGAGGACAATGGTGAACAGCCCCGCTGCTGTCCAGTGAGCCCTGTCCTGGGAAGATGGTCTGCAGACCCCGTGGCGCCAGTTCCCAGGTGGGCGTGCGCTCACCCGAGCCCCCAGGAGAATGTCCAGGAAGTCCAGGTGCCTGCGGTTCCGGATCTTCTCCCGCTTTTTCTCGTCCTGCAGGGCTGTCTTCCGTTCCCTGATGACCTGGTCTGAGCCAGAGCACAGGGTGTCACTGCCTGGGGACCCATCCTCTGCCCTACGGGAACCGAGCTCCTGCAGTGGGAAGGACCCCAGAGGGGCCGGGAGGAGCTGGACCAGAAGCTGGGCTGCCTGTGGGTGGGCCCTGGGCAAAGACCCACCTGTGTGGTCGTGGGCCACCTGGCAGGCCCGCAGGAAGCGGCGGCCGTGGGGGGTGAGCCAGCAGATGAAGTCGTTGTGGTACTGGAAGGACTCCAGGCACTGCTGCGTCAGCAGAGTGAGCTCACTGACCGCCTGGTAGTAGCTACTGTCCCTGCACAGTGGAGACGGGGGCGGAGGGCTGACACCGACCTCCAGCAGAGCCCGAGCAGCTGCACTCCAGAGTCCACCCCGACCGCCGCGCCTTCCGCCCTTCCTCTCCCTGTCCCTAAGCCTCCCCGCTAAAGCCAGCATCTGTCTCCCGCTGTGGGCAGGGCCCGGCTCCCCCTGAGCTGCAGCTCCCTAGGGCAGGACCTATCTCCTCTCAGCCCAGGACCCAGGAGTCCTGCCAAGTCTCCCCTCTGGGCTGGACGGGGTGGACAGTGTGGTCAGCCCGAGCGCCCCCTGACCTGTGACTCAGGCCACCGTCTGCTTTGCCGAAGGTGCACTTCATGAGCGTGTCCAGCGCCATGTGGCCCACGTCGCAGAAGATGTCAAAGCTCTTATCCTCCCGAGCCTTCTCCTCCCACTTGTCCTAGAGCCCAGAGATGGAAGGTAACGTGGGGGGCCAGCCGCACTGGGTGCCCCACCCCTGTCCTCCAGAACCCACAGCCTGTCCTCCCCCCATGTACCCCCAGTCCTTGGCCTGGCCTCCATCCTGCTGGAGTGTGGGGGTTGGGGGCGGGTAAGGGCTTCAGGCCCAGAGGGCAGGACCAAAAGGCAGGCCCTGCACAGCGCACACAGACACTCTCTCCCAGCCAGGGCAGCCTACACATAAGGGAAGAGGAGACCCGAGGGGTGGTGAGCTCCCCAGCATAGTCTGTGTGTAAGTCATGCCTTGCAGTCATGCTGGGGAGGAGTTTCCTGCAAGGGAAGATACTAGCCTGGGTAAGCTCTGGGGATTATCAGCCCTGAGACCCTGAGCCCGACCCCGGACCCCTCGGCATCTCTTTTAAAAATGAGTTGCCAATGGCGGTGTTTTAGGCAGTTGAGGTGGGCTGAGAATGAGGAGGAGACACTTTTTAGATGTGAAAGGATTCCTAACAGCCTCAAATGCAGGCAGCCCTCAACTCTGCTACAGAAGGAGCCTTTTTGGGGCCCCACAGAGGCCCTTTGGTCTGTGAGGGAGGGCTGGGTCTCCTGGTGGAGACAAGGGCCAGGGCTGTCTGGCCCCTCCAATCTTCAGCACCCGGTCAGCACCAGCAGGCAGCAGGTGTCAGGCGCAGAAGGCTCAGCACTGCTCTTGCAGGCAGAACGGGGCCTCGGGCCTCAGCGATTCTCCTCACTGCCCTCCTCCAGGGAAAACTGGGGGTGGGGAGGGTCTGGCCTGCAGCCACAGCCTCCAGGAGCCTCGCAGGGCTGCTCACCAGCATGGCGCACGTGGAGTCAGCGATCACAATCACGTAGGGCTTCAGCACGTTGTAATGGAAGCCAGGCGTGAGCAGCTTGCCGTGCTGGAACCACTTGGGCCCCTTGAGGACCAGCAGGCCTTTCCCTGGGGAAAGGATGAGAGAAAGGCCAGTCATTCCACAGAAACCTGCCCCACCCCTGGCAGCCAGGGGCCAAACACACTGCACCCCATCCAACCCCACCTAAGTCCTCCCTGCCCAGCCTCATATCCCAACCCAGCTCTGCCTTCCAGCCACCCACAGTCTCACAGCCTCTGTGACGCCTGCCTTGGTCCTACCACCTACCTTTCCTCAGGCCCTGCCATGGCCAGCAAAACCCATAAAATCTCCTAGGATCAATTCCAGTGCCACCTCCTGCAGGAAGCTGCTCTGCACACTCACACATTTTCAGAACACTTGCCCTGCCTGTCCAGGGAAGAGGAAACACCTGGAAGGAGAAGATAACTGGGTCCCCTTCCCCCACCAGCCGAGAGCTCCCCTGCCTCCTCTCTTGTCCTCCCACTGAGCAGCTGAGCTTCCAAGGGGCACTGGGCGGGGGGCAGGTGGTCCAGTTGATGGGATAACTGACTGAGTGGGGACAGGGCAGGGAGGGACAAGACAGGGAAGGATCCTGGTCACCCAACACCAAAGGTCTGGGATGGGAAGGCAGGTGCCCACTCACCAATCCACTGGAGTAAGAAGTTGTACACATCTGGGGCCTTAGGGTCTGCAGAACGAAGAGAAAATCAGACCAGGTGACACTAGGGGATCCCAGAGGAGGCTTGCTGATAAATAGGATGGGGACCTCAGCTGTCCAGACTTAGGGGGGCAGGCCCAGAACTCCTCCCCACATGGTGCCCTGCGCCCTTTGGTCTCAGGAAGGCCTGCCCTCTCCCAGGAGCACTCACCCCCTCGGCTGAACACAGCTTTCGCATAGCCAGGCTCATAGATGTTCAGGAAGCCAAGGAACTATCCCAGCCAAAGTGGGTGGTCATACGGGAACTGGTGGGCCCAGGACACCACCTTGTCCAGGCTCCCCGTCTGCTGGATCTGAAAGGACAGCAGCAGACCAGGCCACTCAGGAACCCAGTGTCACCAGCCCGGTCCCAAGACCTTGGGCAGGGAAGAGGGGAGGCTGCCCAGGCAGGCCCCCAGCATCCCTCCCTCCTCCTTCACTCCCCTCCCAGCCGGTCACCCAGTCCTATACATCGCTGAGTTCAATCACCTATCCAGCCCAGAGTCACTGCTTTAAGTCCAAGCCACCCTCTTATTGCACCTGGCTTAGCTCATCAACCCCAAACTGGCCATCCTGCTTCCATCTGGTGCCTGCCACCAACCCTCTGTCTACACTGCAGCCAGAAAGAGTTTTCTTTTCAGCATTGAAGCTTTTTCACTAGAAAGGTAATACCAGCTTGTTGTACAATACACAAGTCACCTCGATTCCAGCCCTGTTGAGTCATTCGACACATTTTTATTAAGGACCTACTATGCGCAGGGCACTGTCTCAATGTCTCAGGGGAATGAGGCAGACATGGTCCTGCCCTTTCATTCTATGGGAAAGACTGATAATACGCAAGTAAATGATTAAGTAAAATGATTACAGACAGTAGGAAGTGCTAAGAAGGAAATGAACACTGTGCTACGAGACAGACCAACAGGGAGACCTGCTGAGATCACATGATCCAGGATGGCCTCCTGCTGGAGATGACATTTCAGCTGAAACCCGAAGGATGACGAGGAGCTGGCTGGGTGAAGAGTAAGGGGGAACCATTCCTGGTTAGGGAACAGCAAGCACCGAGGCTCTGGGGTGCGAAAGAGCATGGTGTCTTCCAGGAGCTACCACTTGGTGGGGCAGTGGCCTGAGATGAGGTTGGAGGGATCACCCAGAGGGTGGTGTGTGCTCTTTGTGAGTTTTCTAGCACATGTACTCACCCAGAGGCATTTTATGTAAATCGAGTTTGCAGTAGATACTTTTCCAAAACCTTCTCTTTTTCATGTAACATATCTTGTCCTTCTTCTCAAACTAGCGCACTTAACTGTCCCTCAATACTTTTAACAATTGCATAGTATTCCACCCCAGGAATGTACCATTATGTGTTTGTCCATTTTTCCCTATTTTGAGGGAATCTCTCAGAGACACAGTTAAAACCCCTCAGTGGCCTGCCCATGGGCCTCAGAATAAAGTCTGAGCTCCATAGTTTGTGAGGAGGTGTAGCTCATCTTTATGAAGCACTTGCTGTGTGCCAGGCCTTCGTCTAAGCACCTGACATCTTGACCTCATCAAATCCTCACAACAGCTCTGTGAAGTCCAGGTTTAGGGAAGAGGAGCCTGAGGTATAGAGATCAGAGGTTGCTTGCCAAGGACCACACAGCTTGTAAGGGAGCTGGGATGGGAACCAAGGAAAGTTGAGTCCGTGGCCCGCAGTCTTTGGGGCTTGACAGACCTGGGTTTGAATATTGATTTCCCCTACTTTTTATATGTGTGAACTCAGGCAAGTTCTTTCGGCTCTCTGAATCTTACTCTCCTCACCTGTAAAATGGGATAACACTTAGCTTATAGGATTGCTTTGACATTAACGAAATCACGCAGCACGTGTGTCTAGTTGAGGTCATGTGGCATTCAAGACCCTTAACTCACATTGCATGAGAGCACCTAGCGCTGCATCCTGCACAAACTAAGCCTTCAACGAGTAGTTCTCTCCCCTTCAAGCCTCCCTTTCCCCAACATCTTCCTTCCAGCCTCCTCCCTGCATCTCCTGCCACATCCTATCCCAAATCCCCCAAATTGCACTAGAGAATGGGCTCGGAACACGCCCTGAGATACTTCCACCCGTGGGCAAAGGATTACCCAAACCATGTCCCCCGTCACCTGGGAAGCTGACCTTGGGTTACACTCTCCAAATCTGTCTCACAGGAAACCTGATAACCGTAGAATGTTCACCATGTTGCTGGTGTGGAAATTAATGAAAGAAACCTTAATTAAATTGGAGTCAGGAAGGCCTGTAGGGGGAGCTTGCACACCATATTCTATATCGTCACTTACACCAAACAGGAAGGGACAGATATTTGCATCCTGGACGGAAGCAAAACTACTTTACTGTTGAAGGAAGATTTCTCTCCCCACCTGGCAACAGCCCAGCCAATGAGAAATGCTGCAGCTCAGCCAATGAGAAGCCATTGCCACCCTGAACTGTTACTTTTCCCCAGTGGACTTTCCTTTAGAACAGCACCTCCCTACTCCCCGTTTTTCTCTATAAAAGCAGCTCCCCTCCTTTGTTTTCTGGATTTGCTTACAGTTTGCCATAGCATGCACATCCCAAATTACAATTCGTTTATCTATTCCCGTATAAACTTGTTTCGAGGATAAAATATTTAAGGATAAAATAAGAGGCAAATTTGCTTCTTAAGTTGACAGTAGGCAACATGGCTATGGCAAAAATGAACCCTGGCTGGTAACTAACCTCTGAACTGGGGAGAACCATGGATGAACTATAATCGGGAAGCTTTGGGCTTCCCTGAGTGTGGTGAGTCATATAATATGCGTGGACCCTGTGGGAACCCTGGGATTGTTAGCAGACACTGGAATTCTGTGGGGCCAGGGGATTCTAAGACAAGATGGACCCACACCCACTGACGTGGATCGCCAATGCCTGTGTGGATGTGGTGAGGAATGCCTGATGCTGCCTTGGTGGCAAGCTGCCCATATCCTCTGATTAGACTGATGCTAACTGTGCCCGCGGTAGCCTTGTGAGTGTGAATGTTAGGACTAAGATGACGTCCTGGGGTGTGGCATCATCTCTGGGACTTTGCTTAGACCATTCCTTGCTCCTCGTATACCCTGTACCCAAGGTGCCTGTGAAATTCTGCCTATTCCTCCACATCCAGCTTGAACACCCTTCTCCAGGAACCTCTCCAGTCCTCCATGACCAAAATCTCTCCCTCCTCTGGGCCTCTCCAGCACTGCTAGTACCTTACCCACATTCCACTTGGTGTTACAATTGCTTGCATCCACAACAAAACAAAATTAATACTATTAACATTTACATTCGCTTGAACTTACACAATGTTATGTGTTAATTATATATCAACAAAAGGGGGGGAAAAAACTTTTAAACTGCTGATTTAAGTTCATTTAATTTATGGAAAAAGCCCACCATATAACCTAATTGGCAGAGTCAGTCCTACTCATAAAAAAAAATTATTAAATGAGACAGTTCATTTTAAAAAGTCTGACTTTGTTTTGTAACTCAAATACAAATGTGCTAATGCAAAAATAAAAATACGTTGTTGAGAAAATTACAAGATAAGCCACAAGCTAGGAGAAAATATTTGTAATAAATGAATTTGACAAAGGACTTATATCTAGAATATAAAAGTGACTCTTACTCCTCACTAATGAGACAAACAATACCAAAAAAAGGGAGAGGCTAAAACTAAAACAACAGACACTTCCTAAAAAAGATGTATAAATGACCAAAAATAACATGAAAAGATACTCAATATCTTTAGTCATCTTGGAAATGCAACTTAAAACCACAAAGAGATACCACTACCCACCCTCTAGAGAGGCTAAACATAAAACATCAACCAAGACCAAGTGTAGATGAAGATGTGGAGCAACTGAGATTCACATACACTGCTGATGCGGGTGTAAAATTATGCAACCATTTTGGAAAAGAGTTTGGCAGTTAAGCGTACACTTAACATGTGACCTAGGTTTTTACAAAAGAGAAATGAAAACACATGTCCACAAAAGACTTGTTTATAAATATTTATAGCAGCTTTATTCATATTAGCCTAAAAGTGGACACAAGTCAAATGTCTATCATTGAGTGAATGGATAAACACATTGTCGTATGTTCGTACAATAAAATGCTACTCAACAATAAAAGGAATGAACTGCTGATACACAGAAGCACGTAGATGGTTCTCAAAAACATTAGGCTGAGCGAAAGGAGCCAGATACAAGTGATTACATTTATCTCTGTATGATTCTACTTAT